TTCTAGCTGGGCTGAGTGGGTAGGGTCACTTGGCATATGCACAAGAAGAGCAGTAATGGTGATGGGGGAAATGAGGCTGTTCGGTAAAGACAGGATGGGACTGAAGTGTGCTCAGGACATGTAGATAGAGATGAGTAATCTAAATGAAGGTGAATCTCAGAAGTCTGTGCTGTAGACAGTGATGCAGTGGCCATCACTGAACAGAATTCAGTTGAAACAGAAAATCACATGAGCCCATGGCAGAGTGTTACAGTGAGAGGAGAGCTGAGGACGGGGTTCTGCAGAAATCAACACCTTGGCCATTGGGAGGATGGAGGCTGAGAGATGGACTCACATGGAATCAGGTGCACATTGCTGGTAAGCTTTACAAGTGCCAGTTCAGAGAAAAAGTCTGAAGAGCTGAAGAGAGGGGTGTGACAGCAATGTTGGAAGGAAAGAAGTGGGAAGAGAGAGCATCAGGAGTGGGCCTGAGTGCCTCCCAAACTTCCATGCTGCTTAGCAAGTGACTTCAGGCACTAAACATTTTCATTTTGAACAGTTATGTGTTAAAGATTCCTAAAAGTGATAAACATAAAATCAAAGAAATTATTTAATAAACAGTCTAAGATTTAACAGAAAATAAATATTAACTCAAAAATTAGCTTAAGGGTATAGATTGCATACATACTAATACACATGGTAATATGGATAAGGCAAAAAATGTCAGACCAAAAGAATTGAGGGTTAGGAAATGTAGTTTTGATTATTCTTTTAAAAGGGTTAAAAGAGGGCTTGGCACAGAAAGGGTGAGAGGAAAAGAAGGGAGGAATGAAATATCATATTCTATGGGGTCCAGCACAGTAGCCTCATGGCTGAAGTCCTCGCCTTGCATGCATTGGTATCTCATATGGGAAAGCCAGTTCATGTCCTGGCAGCCCTGCTTCCCATCTAACTCCCTTCTTGTGGCCTGGGAAAGCAGTTGAGGACAGTCCAAGGCCTTGGGATCCTGTACCCATGTGGGAGGCTGGAAAGAAGCTCCTGGCTCTTGGCTTCGGATTAGCTCAGCTCCAGGTGTTACAGCCACTTGGGGAGTGAATCAGCAGATGGAAGATCTTCCTCTCTGTCTCTCCTCTTCTCTGCTTATCTGACTTTCCAATAAACAGAAAATAAATATTTAAATCAAAAAGGTTAAAAGGAAGAAGACAGGGTTGAGTGGGGTTGAAAGAAAGTTTTATTAGAATGAGAAAGACTTTTTTCTTCCTTCATTCCTTCAACTCTTGTTTCCTTTTTGAAAATTATTTATTTATACTTATTTGAAAGGCAGAATTACAGGGAGACATCTTCCATCTGCTGGTTCACTCCCCAAATGACCGCAACAGCCAGCACAGAGCCCGTCTGAAGCCAAGAACCAGGAGCTTCTCCCAGGTCTCCCACATGGTTGCAGCAGGTCCCCAGGACTTGGGCCATCCTCTACTGCTTTCCAGTCCATAAGCAGGGAGCTGGATCAGAAGTAAAACAGTTGGAACATGAACTGGTGCCCATATGGGATGCCAGCACTGCAGGCATTGAGCCACTGTGCCGGTCTCTAAACTTTGTTTTCAAATAAATACATACATTTAAAAAAAGAAGAAGTTGTCCGGTGTTCTTCTCAGGATGCTGACTGAACGTGCAATGGAGCTACTGAGGCCCAGGGGCCCAGGGCTTCCAGGAACAAGTGGGAAGGGATGAAAGGGTTTGGTGATGCTGGTGATAAGAAAGCAGTAGAGAGAATAGTAAGGAGATGGTGAAGGTTAGAGAGGATAAAGATGAAGATAGAGAGTCTGTTCTGGAAGAGACAGCAGGGAGCTAGCGGCAAGAGAAGCAGAGCACCAAGAACAGAGATGCTAGGTTCTGAGAGGATCTGCAGGTGGGGGAGGGAATGGTTGCTAAGAAATATAGCTTGCCATTTACCTTGGATCAATCACTATATATAGCTATATATACTATGCATAGTGTACATTGCGTGGGTATATATACATAAGTTGTACATTATATATATATATACACAAATAAATATGTATACAAAATAAATATATGATCACTTTGTACCCTAGATATACATGATTATAATTTCCCAAAATTCAATATAAAGATTTAAAAAGACCATAACAATAAAAGACTAAAAAAGAAATTATTTCCAGAGGCCAAAAAGTGGAGAGCTGAGATGAAAGAAAACTGGAGAAGGAAACAGCAGAGTGGATAAGATGGGTAGGAAGGACTGTGGTCTGTCTTACGACTATAGGGATGAGGAAGGGCCAAGATAACTGCTCAGCACAACCCACCCACCCCAAACCACAGGAAGAGGCATTGTGTGCCCAAGCCAACCCATACTGGTCAGCAAAACAAGCATCGGAGGCACAGAAGATACATTGGGGAGTTGTCCTGTCTTGGGAGAAAATTCCTAAGCCATTTATTACCAGAGTCTTCTAGAGATCAGGAGCTCAAAATCCTGGGCTTCCTCGGTTTACAGGGAGATAATCTCCCCACTTCCCACTCCACATTCACTCCCTCTTCTCAAAGCCTAAGCCCCAAGGCTCAGGATCAAAGGTAAAAGCAGCCTTGGGAAGACATTGAGATTTTCCTCTCAATGCTGACAATTTCCCCTAGGTGGACAGTAGATGGTAGCAAAGAGTCAAAGATGGAGACAAAGCCCTCAAAATAACATGTGGCTAGGCAGGCAGTGGCCCACCATTCCCGTGCTCCAGATAGTGGATACTCCACTCTCAGAACCTGGAGTCAAAGGTCACCTTGAGTTCACTCCACTTGTGCTGACTGCCAAATATTCACAGAGCTAGGGTGTGTGCAGACTGTTACCAACAACAGAGCATACCACCTTTCACACTATAATGTCATTTGCCCACCTGATGGGTTAGGGAGGTGAGCTAACAGCAGCAGCTGCTCTAAGAAGATGTAATTCTCTTGCTAGAAATGATAAGAAGAGAAAGTGGACTAGGCTGCCTCAATAAAAGTTCACTGCCACAGTGCCTACTGTGGGGCTTACTCACTGCATTACAACTGCCACTCTTCAGCAATGGACAGACTTTCTGTGGAAGTCTGTCACCTTTCTGATTCATCTCTGATTCCAGAATACAAATGCTTGGCACATCATTCAACAAATACATTTGTAGGTTTTCAGTGATGGGGTGAATCAGGACAGGACAGGAAGTGAGGTTGATTCTCATCCTGTGATATCCGTCCTTCAGGAATACAAAGTGCAGGAGAAAGAGCAGCAGTTTGGGCAGGGTCCTCAGCTGGGCTTTGGTTCCCAGCTCCATTAATTACGACTGTGGGGAAGATACTGATGCTTCTCAGCCTCTATGGTCTCCTCTGCAGAAGGAGGATTCTCACCACAGGGTTATTTGTGATGAGAAAATACACAGCTCATGCCTAGCACAGCATCTCACACACTGCATGACACTCAACACCAAATCGTGACTGACGCTGACTGGGGCTACAACTGCAGCCTATCCTCTGGAGCAGGCCCCAGGAGTGGAGGAAGAATCAATAGAGCAGAAAATCCATGATATTTAAGACCCAGAACCCCTACTGCCTCAGCTCTAGTCTCCCAGACAGCACAGTCAATCGCAGGTGGCAACAGAATCAGTCATCAGGGTGTGGCTTTCCAGATTCCTCTTTTACTGGGAGGAGCGATGGCTATTTGACATTTTCCACATGAAACCAATCTAATTGAGCAACCTGGCACTTTTCCACGGTGACTTAAGGGTGCAAACACGTTTAAATACCAGCCATGCAGATTTGGCCAGAACTTCCATCTCAGCAGCCATTAAGAATGGCCGGTAGGTGCTGGAGGCCCTTGCACAGCTACCTGCTTGGATCTCCCTAGAATAAGCACATCTCTAAGCTTTGGACATGATTATAAGGCTGTTGGCTGTAGCACAGGGAAGCAGACTTGAGAACTAGCAGAAGTCTCTCAGATATTGGTACTCTGGACATCTCTTAAAGCTCAGCAGAGAAAACTGCTTTTAGAACAAATTGAAAAGAAGTATTGTTAGCTACCTCCAGGTATTTGCACAGGGTAAAAGCAACAGCCTGTTTGGTAGAAAGCACGCCTGAGCTAGAGAATGCCAGGAGCTGAGAAAAGGCAGAGCCCATCACAGCTTCCAGACCATCGATCAGGGAGCTCCAAGGCTCAAGTAGTCCCATGCCATTTTCAATGTGCTACAAACCATCACCTTGCTGGCTGGGGTCAGGTGGGGCAGGGTAGGTCTCCAGGGAAAGTGCCAGCAACCAAGATACAGGGGCTTCAGGAAAGGAAGGACACAGAAGAAGTCGCTGTCACACAAAGTCCAGCAGGTTCAAGCAAACACTTGCCCCTTTTGTCTATGTCATAACAGAGGGAGAGGATGGTTTAAAAACCATTATAAGGCAAAATACATCGGCTTCCTTTCCAGACTACCTCTGGTGGGTTGCTGCTTGCTCTCTCTTGACGGAGTGAAGGTTTCAAATCATTATTCTGAAATGGAGGGTGCTGCTGTTTCACTTGCCTCTTCCATCCCATAATCCTACACCCCGTGGACTTCTTGTCCCTTTCACTGTCTCCTTCAGTTCTCAGAAGATGAATATAATGAGCAAGGCTACAAGGTCCTCCTATGGGGGGGCACCAAGTGACTCATCTGTCCTTGCACCCTATACTAGTAGCACATAATGGCAGGCAAAAGGCACAAGAGAGGGGCAGGTGTGAGGGGCTCCATGCATACCCAAGGCGCTACCAGGAACCCAAGCCTAGTCCCCATACAGGCGGTCAGCAGCATCATGCCCACTCACAAAGAGTAACTCTGACAAGCCCTCAAACTCTTGGCATATCCTCCAAGCCCCTCTGCTCACTGCACAGCATGCTGAAGAAACCAAGCCAGGCAACAGCTTAAGGTCACAGGAGGCACAAAAACACAGACCGTGCCTTCCAAACAGAAGGGAGATGCGAGTTGTGCAAGTGGCAGCAAGACGTGGTTTACTGGCCTTACCTCCTTTCCAAAGCAGATAGATGGGCACCACGTAGAGCATAACATGCTGAATGTAGTAGATCTCCAATTCAAAGGGGAGCTGTGGGGAGAGGAATGAGGGAAGTGTTTCAGAGCCAGGAGTATTCAGGTGCAATGGATTTTTGAACTTTAACACCGTTGCTCTTCAGGACCCACATTTTAACAACCCCAAGCATTTCACCAATTTACCAATGTTCACAATTTGAGGGAAGAAAAGAACAAAATGAATATAGTTGTGACCTGGACAGTTAGTTTCTAAGCTGTATCTTTAAGAGACAACACTTGAAAAACACTCTGCTAAGAAAATCTGGTTACGTACCTGAATTGTGGTGTACTGGATTAAGCTACTGCTTGTGACATGGGCATCCCATATTGGGACACCTGTTTGAGTCTGATCTGCCTGTGATCCAGTTTCTTTTTAATAAATGTGAGCAATCAATGGAAGACGGTTCAAGTGCCTGCACCCCTGACACCCACATATCAGACCTGGAAGCTTTTCCTGGCTCCTGGCTTCGGTCTTCCCCAGCCTTGGCTCTTGGGACCATTTGGTGAGAATGAACCTACTAATAAATCTATCTCCCCTCCCTATGTCTCCTGTCTTTCTCTGTCACTCTTTCAAATCAAATTCAAAAAGAAAAAAAAATTAAACAGAGAAAGTTTGTTGAGAATTTTTTAAAATGTTGCTTATAACATATCCTCTTGGAGATTCACCATATGTAGTATTGGTATATTAAAGGCTTGAGTAATCCCTGAATAAAAGAAACATACTTGCCATTGTTTATTCAGTCTTGCCAAGTTTATTTAGTGACCATTTAAAATTCTCTATTTATTTATTATAAAGACAGAGGGACAGAGAGAGAGATAAAGAGAATCTTACAACCACTGGTTCATTCCCCACATGCCCACAATAGCCAGTAATTGGCCAAGCTTGACATGAAATATAATGTGGAGTAGAATTTGGGCCCGGCGCGGTGGCGCAAGTGGTTAAGTCCTCGCCTTGCACGCCCGGGATCCCATATGGGCGCCGGTTCTAATCCCAGCAGCCCCGCTTCCCTTCCAGCTCCCTGCCTGTGGCCTGGGAAAGCAGCAGAGGACAGCCCAAAGCGTTGGGAACCTGCACCCGCGTGGGAGACCCGGAAGAGGCTCCTGGCTTCGGATCGGCATAGTATCGGCCCGTTGCACTCACTTGGGGAGTGAATCATCGGACGGAAGATCTTCCTCTCTGTCTCTCCTCTCTGTATATCCGCCTTTCCAATAAAAAATAATAAAAATAAATCTTTAAAAAAAAAAAAAAGAAAGAAATATAATGTGGAGTAGAATTTATCATTCCCATTTCCCAGTTGTAAAAAAAAAAGGAAAAAAAAAAAACCTGATTGCTCAGTCTGATAGGATTTATATTTAAGAACAGAGTTACCCATTCGAAATCTGTCAGACCAGGGTTAGCCCTGTTTTTGAATAAACACGAATCAACTGGGTCAGTCCTAGCATAGCTTGTCTCAAAAACCTCCCCCCTCTTCCTACACCCACTATGCCCACCCACTCCCTCCTGTTTCCTGTCTCTCTCTTAAAATGGATCCTCTGGACTACTAAAGAAGAACGTAACTGCCATCTGGCAATGGGGACTCTGCTTTAAAGCGTGGCAATGGGCAGAAAATCAAAACAGCACTGTGGCTAACTCGCCTCTAGGGGGGAAAAAAAACTTCAGCAGAATGGCAAGAAGCACAGCCTCTGCTTACGCAATCTCACGTGTGTGCTCTCCCTTCTACAGACATCCCCACTCACCAAGGGAGATCCAGAGAGACAAGGATACTCAGAGTATGGCGTCGGCTGTTCTCTGCTCCCAGCAGAGCAAACACAATACCAAGACTGTGCTAATAAGGAGAAGCCCCGGAGGCTCCCCCAACCTCAGAACCCAAGCCAAGCTTATGCCCAGGGTTAAAGTCAAAAGGTGGCAGAGCTCTCAGATTAGGAGCTGTGACAACCCTGGAGACGGACAGAGACCTGGGCTCTTGAAAATGCAAATCCAGACACAAGGAAAATTTCCTAGGGATCTCGATGATGCTCAAGATTTCATACTCAGAGAAATGTAAAACCCAGGGAGGGCTAGGAGGTTCTAATCATCTCTACAGACTGTGGTGGAAGTCTCTGGAAAGGTCAGGGGATCTGACACAGGGAACCGCCAGCACAAGGCAGCTATGGAGGTACAAAAGGCTTCACTGAGGCCACTGAGGTAATACAGAAAATAAGCTAGAAAGCTGAAGTGCCGGGAAAGCCCTGCTTCCTGGCTCTAATCACTGCAGGTTCCTAAGGTCCTCAAATTCTTCCAAAAACTGGCCTAGAAAGCCAGGGCTGCAGTTACACATCAGAGACAGAGAATCAGGCGGAAGGGGCTGAGGTGCCTGGACCCAGCTGTGTCCCCAAGCGGTCCCTGTGCCACCATCTCAGCCTCCAATGTGCTCATTGACCCACCTGGACCTCACAGTACCCAACCGCTTCTTCCTGTGTTACAGCGCAGCTCGACAGCCAAGGCTCCAGATTTGTGTCCAAGGAGGCAGATAAGTACCGTGCTTGCCAGCAAGGACTTTGCAGTCAGATCAGTGTTCTAGATTTGACTTGGCTGCCCCAGGCCTGCAGTAAGTCACTTAACCTCGTGTTTCACTTCTGGCATCAGCAAAATGAAACTATGTTGTTATATAACACAAAGTGCTTGTTGCATGCCAGCAGCTACAGTCGCATTTTGTAAACAATTAATTCAAACTAATCCTCCTAACAAATTTACCATTTCGTTTCAGAGATAAGAGATTGAGACACAAAGAGAGCTTGCTTGAGCAATGGGATATGAAACTCATTCTGTGACACAACCAGGATTCAAAGCATTGTGGGAGTACTTAGCCTCCCAGTTAAGATGCTCACGTCTTAAATCAGAGTGCCGGGGTTTGGTTCCCAGCTCTCATTCTTCATTCCAGCTTTCTGCCAATGCTGCCCTTGGGAAGCAGTGGTAATGATTTTAGCACTTGGGCTCCTGCCATTAATGCGGAGAACTGGCTTGTGTTCCTCGCTCTTGGCTTTGACCTTGATTTAGCCCTGACTGTGGGTATTTGGGAAGTGAACCAGTGTAAGGGAGCTATCTAATGTTTGTGTGCTTATTCTCCCCTTAATAGTAAATAATTTTAAGTCAAATAATGTTATATCAAAAGTTAAGAGAGGAATATTATTATATTCTCAGAACTGTATAGGTGAATTACACTGAATCTGTTTTTTTAAAATTATTATTATTAATATATTAACATAGACCAGCACAATAGCTCAACTGGGTAATCCTCCCCTTGCAAGTGCTGGGATCCCATATGGGCACTGATTCTTGTCCTAGCTGCTCCATCTCCCATCAAGTTCCCTGCTTATCTCCTGGGAAACCAGTGAAGGATGGTCCAAAGCTGGAAGAAGCTCCTGGCTCCTGGCTTCAGCTCAGCTCAGCTCTGGCTGTTGAGGTCATGAAGGGAGTGAATCAGTGAATGAAGATCTTTTTCTGTCTCTTCTCTCTGTAAATCTATCTTTTCAATTAAAAATTCTAACAAGAAAAAAAAAAAACAAAGTACAAAAGACAAAAAAAGTTTAAAAATCCAAGCAGTCCAGTTGTAAAATTTAAAACCTCAGTCAGTATATAGTGGTGCTTTGTTATTCATGGAAAACTGATTCCAAGACCGTATTCAGATGTTCAAATCTCTCAAATAAAATGGCCCAGTGTTTGTATATGACCTAAGCACATCTTCTCATACTCTTAAATCATCTCTAGGTTACTTATAATACCCAACACAACATTAAAACTATGTAAATAGTTGCTACGCTGTAGTACTTAGGGAATAATGACAAGGAAGAAAGTCTGTACACCTGCAGTACAAAATGCACTTCTTTAAAATGTTTCTGAACTGCAGATGTGGACAGATTCCAAGGATGCAAACAATGAACTCTACCCCACGCCCCCTGCAGCCTTCCCATCACAAAAGCCCAGAACAGGGAAAAGGCTCGATGGGGGTGGAGTCACTATAATTATGTGCTAATAGTAGAATCAGAAGCAAGAATGATAGCCCAGCTCCATCCTGTTTGATCACCTTCACAGCCTGTCCTACACACTGCCACCCCAGTCCCACATCACACAGTGGCCACACTTGCCTTGCAATACACACTTCCCAGCTCCTAGGGCTTATGACTGCTTGGCCATGGACCTCAACTGGGGCAACCAAAGACTAACCACTCAAGTTTCCTAAATTGGGAAGGCTTTAAAGAGTCTAAAACTAATAGAGGTGCAATCAGTAATGGAGACCAGGGAGAGGAAGTAGTCCATGAAAGAGCTGTGGAAAAAAAGGGACAGGAAGAGAAGATGAAAGCAAATAGGAGGCAGAGAAACAAATGAGGGCATGTCAAGTAATTTGTGAAAAAAACAGATGAAAGGTACATTTGTTTGGGTGTATAGAACCTTTAACCCACGTACAATTTTTCATAATACATATTCTATGAGGTTTTTGAAGACACGTTGTATGCATGAATTTCAAAAATTTTCAGCAAAATAAACTTCTCTTTTAATTTCATTTCTAAAAACCTTTCCATGTTCCCTCATACTGAAGGTAAAAAAGAGAACCGAACAGAAGCAGCCAACATGCCCTTTCCCATTTCAAGGCAAATAACATTTATTAAGTACTTACTTTATACACCTACATTATGTTAAATACCTTTTCACATGTAAATCCAGGCAGTTACTGAAATGGCCCTGCAAAGTGGGGAATAAGATCATTCTCATCTGACAGATGACAAACCTAAAACATAGAGAAGTTAGGTAATATCCAAAGCAGCAGGCACAGGCAGGAGGATGAGGGCAAAGGACGCTCAGCACTGCAAAATAGAAAAAATGGTTCCTCTTTCCCAAGTCTGGGCAAAGTTGCAGGTCCTTTCTCACCACGCCTCCCCTGGGCATGCCTCTTTTCCCCTTCTTACATGCAACAGCTATGAAACGCCATCGTTGCTCCAGAAGAAATTCTGCTGGATTCTAACTTATAGAGCTCAAAC